ATATATATATATATATATATATATATATATATGTATATATATATAAGTAATGTTAGCCCTTCCCTATGTTTGTTGATTCCAGTGATGAATTAAGGCACCTTACTCGATGAATTCCATTCGATCGTCCACCCTTACTTAAAGTTACTAAAAGTTGAATGTATACCGTCTCCTACACACTCACTTTGTATGCTGTAATCTGTACTCCATTTAGTATGCATTTTTTCTACACAAACTCCAGAGGTATGCCATAACAGTCCACAAAATTCTGACTACAGCTGGTCTGTTGTGAAACGTCTAAAATCGTCTTCTATCGTCGACACGCACCGTTGTAATCTGAATTGTGACTGTATCACAGAATTTCATCATGATTTTAGCCCGAAGGTATAATTATATGCCAATGCCTTATTGATTTATGCATTGGTTACTTCGTCCGGTTTCTGCCGAGCGACGCTTTGCCAAATGTAATGCCACTTGCATTTTGTTAGTGGATCTCAGTCCACATCGGTGGTTCCTTCTTTCCCCGGAAATCGGAATGTATAAGTTGTCATTTCTACTTTGAACACATCCTAGTGAACGATGGGTTTGCTAGATATTCTGATAGTTGGCTATTGGTAAATATTTTAGGGCTGTGACTCTACTGTTTACTTTTAGCGGTTAAATTACTCACAAGTAGTTTAAATCCAGTGACATTTTTAAATAACGGTATCCAATAAGATACTGGTCTACCTTCATTTGGTGGTATACACTGTTCCTTGGGAAACCTGCAATACGGCAAAGCTTGGATATGAAATTCTTATAGTCGGCAATTTAGCTTTGCCTGCCACAAAGTGGTCTAAAACTCGTGAGAAAATCCACACCGGCACCATTTGCCCCGAAAACTCTTCGTGAAGAGGTATCAGACCATAGTGATTCGGATAATATACCAAACATTTCCACTGTAGTATTGCTGCGACCTTATCTAACGAAGCCATTCTTGAGTAATAACCACAAACTACATGCATACCAAAACTGGCCATTCATACGTCTTGGTCGACCATACCAACCCAGACTGTCGACTTGCTCGTCTTACTGCCCAGCCGTAACGGTAAACAATGTGCAAGAACTGCACAGTATGACTTCAGGTTTTCAAAGGGTTTTTTGGTTGAAAGGTTCAGCTTTTTCCGTACATATTCGTCATTATCCTCAGCTGCAAATGCCGCTTGCTGGCCGCATTGGGCTCCTAGCCTCCATAGCTTCATTCACCAATGATTTGGGAATGTGAGGTAGCTAGCTAATATAATCGACACGTCAATATAAGGTCGTCGGTGGACTTTCATGGAGAAAGATTGAGAAGGGAGCTGTGTACTGAAAGCAATAGCTTATACGCACGAGCGCTAATGAGGACACGACTGGGTCATGTCTGTTACTGTATCTAAACATTGATGTGTCGCGTCTCTCGGGGTTCCCATTCAGAGAGACGGCAATGACCAGCGCAGCTGAGTTCTATGGTAATGGGTTTTCCGTGCCCCAAAGTACAAGTGATTTTCTGTGACTCTTTAACCTAACCGGATAACACTCTGATGCCAGCCATCAGCCAGTATCACAACGTCTAAAAATTGCCCGTCCCAAATTTAGCGAATGGTGCAACGTCTCTCGGGTTCCCATTCAGAGAGACGGCAATGACCAGCGCAGCTGAGTTCTATGGTAATGGGTTTTCCGTGCCCCAAAGTACAAGTGATTTTCTGTGACTCTTTAACCTAACCGGATAACACTCTGATGCCAGCCATCAGCCAGTATCACAACGTCTAAAAATTGCCCGTCCCAAATTTAGCGAATGGTGCAAGTGCACAGTCATTTTGTCTTCAACGAACCAACAATGCACATAACGGACGCAGTTTGATATATCCTCAGAACGGCGTTTACAAAGTGCAAATTGTTAACTGTGGTAATAAGGTAACCGTTTACTGAAGAGAAGGAGGAGGATACACTAACATGATTTGATCCAGGTCTTGCTCGTAAGTTTGGTTCATTTAGGTTTACACCACTTATTGTGAGTATTACATGCATTTTTGGCGTAAAGCATAAGCAACCAAATTGTCGCTCATAACATGCCTAAATGTAAACGATCTTGTCAGTTGAGAATTTTCAAAATGCTATACACCCAGCGGTGTCGAGTTGCCAGCAGTTCCTTCAGGATTCTATAGCGCTTAATTATTCTACTGAACAATAGAAGCCGATTTTTCTCTTTTAACTTAGTCTTAATATCACACTTCTGGGTGAGACGGGGTATTTTGAGAGTAACGGTAGTCCTGCTGTCCTTCAGAAAGGCAGTTTGAGTTCTAGTCTCGCTATACTCCCATTAAAACTAAACCACTGTGACATGTAACCCCCCTATAAGCTAGTCATCAATGAGGAGCTCACCGGTTTCATGTGTGTTTGATGCGGTTACACAAAGTCGCCTGGTTGTGTGTTCAAGGGAAAACAAATTCGGTAAGCAACTTTTGTCATGAAGTTTAAGGTAGGATTAAAGTCAGTTATCTCATTTCAACCTTGTGGTTTGAAGCTGAAAAAATACGGTCTCAGGTGGAATAATTGGCGATTTGTTGTTTAGTGTTCTAGAATCGGTTACTTCGTCTAACAAAACCCCACATTTTTCTGTTTGTTGTTATGTGTACATGACCTTGGATTATTCGGAGTTCTCGTTGCCACATACAGTGTCCTTCAATTTTCCGCACCAGGAGTGATTGCATCTCTGTTTGTAACAATAGGACGTATGTGTCAGAATTACAGACATGGGTCCCAGTATGATGCTTTTTGTCATCCTTTCGACAACAAAGATGTAAATCCAAGATAAACTGAGGATAAAATGCAAGTAATGTATCTTGCGTCAACAGTTACAAGAGCGATATAAATGACGTCAAGCCTTTTATTCGCTTAGAGTCTCATATGAGGCATTGTGCAACGGAAATTTAATGACGATTTAAAACATCACATTTTTACCACTTCAGATAGAACACAGTTAAATTGGATGAAAATAACTTAGAAACAATTACATTCACATTGGCCTTCTATTTCAGGTCGACTTTTGTCCTCTTCTTCTGGCTCGCTACGAAGTCTTCGTGACACTGTCAATCCGCGGGATATGTTCCATGACGCCATACATAACTTTCATCCGAATTATCAAAAGTACACGCAACAGGTTGGTTTGTCTAATACGAGGGTTTCGTTTTCCTGTACGTTGTCATTACACTTTGTTTGCTCGCTCAATGTCCCCATCGAACTTCATAGTTAAACATGCATTCAGAACAGCTAAATTTTTACAACTTTTACCATTTAGCAATTTTTGTGCTGGGCTAAACGTGAATTGAGTGAATTTCTCTCTTCCTTGCACTGCTTCATTGTTTTTCATAACTGTTGGGCATGCAATCTATTTACTATTAAGTTTACTATTGTGTGGTTTAGCCGAGTCAATGAACAATTTACGTTGTACTGGAATAAATGACGTCATTATTCAGACAAAAACGTCCTTCGTCACTGAGTTAAAAGTTAGCAACGAATCCAATGATTCAATTCCCACTTACAAGGAGGTAGAGGTAAATTAAGTGCCAACTACTCAAAACACCAGCCACAGGAGCAATCTAAAATAAGTTGAATACTGACGACAGCTTCCGTTTTTTGTGTTTAAGGCTTTGCCAGCTAGTAAATTTGAACATTTATAGGAAACTGAACTTCTAAAATGAATTTGTCATTTGGCCACCAAATTAGTAGCTCGTTTAATTATTGATATTTTCTGGGTATATCTAAGCTCCCACTTGAGGATTTTTCCTACATTTCGGAGCAATTATTCAGTGATCATCAGAAAAACTTTTATGGTTACAAAGCATCGTTCGTTGAGCCCTTCTGTGTAGTGCAAGGTATGAATTACCCTGCGCGTATTTGTCCATCATTTCCCTCACCAACTTAGATGCTCCTTTGGGGTATTACCACAATTGCTCCAACCTTGCGATGATTCGTATGGAATGAACAGGTTCTCCCAAGAACCACCTCTTCATGTAACACACTGTCAAGTATATGATGTGTAAAAGACAGCTCCAAACTGCTGTACACAGTTCTACTATGCTGAGCATAATTCTTTCAAAGCCGTGGACTGCATTCAAGAGGTACTAGATAGGACAATACTTGCTGCCTTACGTTCAAATTCCTCCACAGCACTAATGAATATTAGGTAAAAATAAGATTATAAACTAACCCGCTCATGCTGAAATTTTATCCGATCCGACGAAGGACAAAAAGAGTAAGAGTTTTTTTGGAGCAGCTCGAACGATTTCACTGCAAAACTCGTGCCTTAAACTGATGTAATGTATAAGGGATTTGTTCTCCTAGGGCTCAGAGTGTTTCTACCAAAAGTGTCTCTATCAACCTATGGGAAATAACAGTGAACAATTTTTTTTACCTAATTTTATTTGATACATAAGTTAAATATCTTCAAGTGACGGCGTGAATTTCGCTGCCAAAAACAACACCGGTGTGTTCGGTGGCACTGAATAAATAGTTCACTTGGGTTTTCGAAATGGAACTATCCACGTCCCCAACAGTAGAAGTATCTGGATAACCATCTTTCCCACCACTGAAACCCACGCTTGGAGGTCCCAAAGCATTCGCAATCTTGACGGTGTGTGTCTATGCAATGAGCGGTACGAATCAAGCTATGACTAAAAAATATTTACGGTCCTCTTTTCATTGTTTGAATGTATGCTCAATCTTCTATCTTAAGAGACTAACAAACCGGCCTCATTTGTTGCCAAAAAAACAGGAAATTGGTTAGCTTCTAAGACATTATAAAGGGTCTTTGTTATTCATGCTCCCAATGCCCGGGGCTATCTTTAGATACCCGAATGACACTAGTGAATGAGGTATCCATCACCAAAAGCGCTACGGGGCAAATGGAACATAAGAGAGAAATAATCTCAATTCGAATATAGATACTCCGTCAGTCTAATGATCCATAGAAAGTGCACAACCAGCAGTGAACTGTCCATGGACCTTCTGAATCCTAAGTAACATCTGAATTTTTATGGTTTCTATGCATAAGTACCTGCCAGCTACTCACTCAATCAATTCAACTATTGCACAGTTGTTCATCTCAAAAAAGAGTGGTCTGGGCAAATATTACACCAGTATATAAGAGAGTTTCATTCGCGAAGCCCCCTGAGTCCAGACGTTGTTTTCTAAAGCAACGGCGGAGTTCTCTGAAACGGTAAACAACAATAAAACTGTTCGGCTAGAAACCTGTCAGCCAAGTCAAATTTTCACCAGCATATAAACAAGCAGCAAACTGCACATTCCTAGCACATAAGAAGGTTTGCTCGTTATTTGATTTTCCAGCTGTCATATGCCCCGAATACGGGCCATTCGCATATTTTTCATTTATACCAGTATTAAGCCTAATCTGATTTTGTTCGCTTTGCCATATCAAAATAGCCAACATTCACATTTGTTGGCCAAAGTGGTACTTCGTGGGAGCCGCAAGTTGTCGGTAAATAACCTAGCAAATTGATATGATTAGTGCCAAAAATGCATTCCATTGTAAAGCTGCATAGAGCTAGTTGACAGAGTGTAGTTTGTTTGTTTACAGAACGGCTAATCAGTTGACGTTAGTTACACATCAGACTTTCATATGCAGGAGGATCTCATGATTCGTATCTAAAACTACATCGGTGAAAACTGGCTATGGTTAAACAAAAACTGCAAAGTTAGATGTTAAGTGTCTGCTAAAAATAATGGATGAGTTCGGGTCGTTTGATGTTTTTTCTTTAGGGTAGTTGGGTGTGGGAGTGAGTACCCTAATGGAAAGATGAATGGACTGTTTTGGAGTGTGACTACTTAACCTTAGCAAATGTATCATTACTAGGATCATCAATAGCATCATTAAAAGAATCATGTAAAAAAGATATGGTTTTCTAAATAGTGTGCATTTTGATGTAAAAGAAGTACATGCTACTCATGCTACTCCGCGCACCACACGCGGACTGGAGTTCTGATTTTATTTCTATCTTATTCGCACAACAAAATCGTCTAAAGTACCAATTAAGACATATTGTTCACAAACCGGGTCCCTATCACTCACTCAAGAATTCACTGTCACATCCGACTTGAATCCAAAACTAGCGTTTCATTGCCTAGGTAAAATTTTAATTTAAACAAGCAGAAACACTCAAAAATTGGTCTTTCTTGAATGGTCAACAGGCAAAATTGGCTGCACCTTTCTTGTAAATTTCTACTATCAGGCGGATCCGAGTAAAACTGCCTATCATCCGACAACCCGAAATCGATACCACATTTTGGCCTTCCGTTTTGTTAGTTTGTAACCGGACCAGAAACGTCTTACAGTTAAATTGATATCAAACAGGGATAGTTTACTAGTACCAGAATTTTTTATCAAATAATGGATCAAAGCTAATCCATAACTGCTCTCTCGGATTGAAGCCGTCCTCTCATTATAATTTTGTGGTCCAGATACTCTAAGCTTTAAATTTTGTAGCCTGCGGGAAGTAATTAGCACCAGAAGTATTGAGATTGGGAATTATGTGGTCGTCCAAAACTGATACATTGGCTGGTTTTACAATAATCTCGTTGGAGCAATCCTCTTCCTGCTTTGGCGCAGAATTAATGGCTGTTTCATTCTGGAATGGGGTTTTGACCCCATTAGTGGTTATTAGATCGCACAGGAACTGGAACTCCAGATGCCCACCGCCACATGGTCGATTCACCTGTATTATCGCCTTTGGGCAGTCATACATTCTTTAGCTTGAGAAACATATACGGTGCAGTTATAATTATCACCAAATATGACAAATATTTAAACTCGCCATCCCTCTTATATATATTCTTGCTACGTCAGCGTTATCTCATAAAAACCTTCATTAACATCGGGACTACTCCATTGGTCTTGTGTTGGCTTGTTCCCCATACATTTCTAGACCAAGTTCTTATGTTAGCCAGCGAGCACTTTTCCTTTTCAGTACCTTATAATAAGTTCTTTTCCATGAGCTCTGTTGGTCTCGTTTTTGAGTATACACTTTTGTATATTCGATGTCCATTACATTGATACTGAATATAACTCCTTCATAACAACCATGGATATTGTAAGCAAAACTTTTGCGGAGTTTAAGCGGTGCGAACATTTGAGTACCCGTAAGTTATTTTCACAAAATTACCAATGTCTAAACCTACTACTCATTCATGAGACACCAGGATGTCGATTTATTTCACCTTATTGCCCTTCAGTAGACTTTCATTCTTCTGCATTTTGAAAATTGTTCTCCTTAACGGGTGACGCAAATGGATTTCAGTTTGACCTATTGCCTGTGGTGTTTTCAAAAGAATTCGCTTCCCATATTTCAGCTAAAGCGATATTCAGAATATTGAAGAATTTTTCTCACCTATCTGAGCTTGCAGTTTTTATGAAAACTCACAGACAGCCCATCATATGTTTACATCTTTGGGAACTCATCACATGGAGCGTCGCCGGGTTCCGATCATCATTACTTCCTACTTGAAAACCGAACTGCTTGCATTGACCTTCCAAATATTGTTATATAAAGAAAAATACATTTATGTTTTAGATACCGTTAAGACGGAAATACAAGCCAGCCTTTTGTGATTAATTCAGTTAGAGTTTATGTCTAAAACGAGCCTTGGATGATATTCAGCTAACTCTGTCATGAATGTGAAGCCGGTCTGTTATATAGAAAATGAAACTGATGGGAACTTGAAGGTTGTTCAATTAGCACAAAAATGAACAGACACACAGTGGGCTCTGGAGAGCTTTCATGAATCTCCCCAACTTCCCCACAACATTTTTCGTGTATGAGTAGAAGTAAAATGTGGAGAAACTAATGGGGGAAAATTAGTACTTTTTGAACTTGCTACTGAAGTGCACATTGAGGTCAACTGGTCCTAGTGTCCGTACGTTGTCATCAAGTGTACCTGCAAGATAATGAATGGTTCAGTTGAAAATGTTTGTAGTTGTTTAGTCGGTGTGATCAAGTGACTTGGTTTCCGGTCACAGGAGGTTAGTGTTCCGTATGAGGTGCTTTTACTGGTTCAGGTAGAAATTGCTCAGCAATTGCCAAGACAACAAGCAGGTATCCTAGAATACTTTGAGTGGGTCCCGTGACCTGTGATGGACATATCAGAATATCATAACAATCACATGATCACTACAGCAATGAAGTGGATTTAGGAGAAGCACTGATAGAATACACGTGCTTACGTTAAGTAGTGCATCTGCCTTGCGCATGATGCCTTCGCCTTGAGCGGTTCCCCCGGCTTTTTACACTATCCAAACAGTTCGCGAGGAGCGAAAATTTTCGTCACCAGTAGTATTCTATGGTGGAAGAAACGCGTACTAAAAATATTACAGTATGTTTTGCAATCATGGATGTGCTGAATTTCTACTCATCAAGTGCCCTTTTAGACGAAACATACAAATGAGGAGTTTTTTGCATTAAACGAAGCGACTCGTAAGAGGTCTAGAATGATATGTTGTGAATTTAACGGGTTACGTTTTATGTCTGAGTTGATAGTGAAAGTAAGGAAAAATGTTAGATTCGATAGCCGACCAAGAACATACTCAAAGATTAGGGGATTGGAACGTGTTCATATTAAGATAGAGAATGTTAATTGTTTCTGTATATTTGTCTTTCCTGGTCTTTGATGAGCCCCTAATTAAGACACTTTCTACTTGTGCAGAAATATGGTATTACTTTATCGGTAGCAAGCGGGAACCATTCTTCTGTAAAATCTCTCGTATTTGGGAAGAAGATTTTGTCTCATACATAGTAAATAGAGAAAACCTAGAAAACAAAGAAGTTATTCCTTGAACTACTTGCTGTGATGAAAGCAATGTTCACGATTGTGCTGCTTTCCATAATTGCGTAAACCAAGCATATATTTGTGGCCCATACGTCCAGTGACTAACAGCAAAGTGGGCCAAAAATGCCAGTAAAAATCCTCAAAATCTTCTTGAACATTTGACAACTTTGTCAATGCAGCCAAAAGGATAATTTTGAGCTTGTCAAGCTGGTTATGCATAGGAAAATTGCTAATAGGCGCCTTGTCTCCCACGACGCTGGATGTCTTCTTTAGCCTGCAGCCTCAAGGGTATTGCTGACTGACATGCGAATAACTATTCTCCTCTAGTAATCCTTAGGTACGGCCACACATTTTACAGAACTGTGGACTATTTTCTAGCCCAAACTAGATAGCATTCCATACAAACAGATATATGAGATTGCAGTGATTTTCATTCATTCTGATTGTGTTGGCCTTGTATAGCTACAAATAATTCAGTTGAGTGTCCCATTCAAGTCAGGTTAGTTCGCAGCTGAGTCTGTTTTGCGAGGTTTGGATTGCAAGTGTCGTTGGAGTCTTCTTGGCTGTAATGGTTTATGGGATGAAAGGAAATTTTCGTTATAACAAACGAAAAGTGATTTGTCACACAAGCCACTGTTCCTCGCAGAGTCCCATGGTAACCTACGCCAACCAAACGTTTGCGGAAGGCATTATATGTCCATTTGTTTACAAAATCAGCCCTTTTTTGTGGCGGATTTTCTGTTAATCTGAAACTTATGGGAGGAATGTGGTACTCGTTTCTAGGATTTTTAAGTCATAGTTTTGTCGCATTTCAGTTTGCGGCTCATTTTCGGAAAAAAGTTACCATCCATCTTCTAAATTTGGACTTGAACTGATAGGTTTACCACACAAAAACAAAAGTACTTTTCCTGTCATATCATACATGACGTGTTTTTAAAAGACCTAATGAAACAGAGGGAACTAACTTTGGTGCAAGTAATCGTCTGGAAGCAAAAAAGTGCTTTGTAGGAATGAAATGTTCTCGTTTGTGCTTATCCATTTTTATAATAGGCTTCCCGTTGTCTGTGTTTTACAGTGAATGAACGAAATTGAACTGTCGTTTAACTCTCGCAGCCGTGATCAGGAATTTCTTAGTGATTGTGTGGTGGTCACTTAGAAATTCACGACACATATCAGTTGTTGCCAGCATAAATTAACTATCCACACGTCACCGTTAGATACTAGGAGGTCATTTAGATCTCGAGATTAACCCTCCTATTAGGTCTCGCACGAAAATAATCGCCGTAATTTATGAGGTGGAAACATTACACCAGAGTGCTTTTTTTAATGTAATTCCCTCTAAATGTAAAATATGCGGAGTCTCGGCGAAGTTTCACGTCCCACGGAATTTACTTCGCCGTCAGATAATTTTGGTTTCCAACCTACGCTATCTTCAATCAAATATTGAATAGTCTGTGAAATTTATGTAATAGAGATCACAGAACAGCTTGTGGGTTCATCCACCAGCATGTGGATGCACAGAATGTGCCAGGTATGTACTGGACAAGAGCACCATACTTCTGAACGCACTGTTTTCAGCAATATTTCAATATTTCATCTTCTTTGTCAACCTATTTCGAAAACAGCGGTACAGACGCTTGTTTACTGCACGCAGTGTAACTAATGCGTCTGCGGAAACCTGTTTTCAAATAAGAGCTAACGGTTTACCAAAGTGAAACATGCGAGGCTTAGTTAACGTCCATTAGGAGATACTTTCATTTCGGTTCATCACCATTGCTTTTCAGCGCAACCCCAAGGATGAAGACGAAGGAGAAAAGTTCATGCGTGTGCAGAATAGTGGACCGAATTTACACAAACCAGAGAATCATATTGCCCCGTCCACCGTTCCTGCCCCACCTATTCCTCCACATCCGTGATTCGTCGGGATTTTCATTATTGCACAAAGAGCATTTATGTTCTCATTGCACGTTGTGTTCCGTGAAAGAGCGTCTGAGATCCATATATCATATTTTGATATTATCCTATTCATTTCACTCTACCGAAAATGTTGAATGTTGAATATCGTTTACCCAGTCGTCAAACGTTGGTCAGTTGTGAATTTCCAAACAGAAATGTTAAAAGATTCCAAATAGTCATTACCCCTTTCTTTTATCAAACCACTTCAGCTTTCGAACTGTTGCATTGCACAAAGATATGTTCTTCTCATTGCACGTTGTGTTCCGTGAAAGAGCGTCTGAGATCCATATATCATATTTTGATATTATCCTATTCATTTCACTCTACCGAAAATGTTGAATGTTGAATATCGTTTACCCAGTCGTCAAACGTTGGTCAGTTGTGAATTTCCAAACAGAAATGTTAAAAGATTCCAAATAGTCATTACCCCTTTCTTTTATCAAACCACTTCAGCTTTCGAACTGTTGCATTTATTGAGTCTTTGGTCCATGCTTATTTTGTGTGATTGGTTGCATTTTTTTTGCGGTGGCCAAAGTTTTTGTCATGTCCCTTTGATTCGCTAGGTGGAATAACCTCTGCAAAACGCTTTATGATAGACTCTCACGTGATGCTATTTTGTCGTGTTGTGCATTGGCGACGTGCTACATAAATAGTTTACGTGAATAGTTCTTCTAACTCTATTATCCAAGTGTTGATCGTCACAGGATTTCCACAGTAAATCTTGGTGTGGAATATTCTAAGCGCACAAGTGAGCTGACAAAAACGTTTTGTGAATATTTTCCAGAGGAACCAAAATACTGTACGTGGTTCCCAAGCATCGTCAGAGAAAGTTTTGAAGGAGCGGTTTTGGGTAGTTGAGATTACATAGGAAAAATTTGGTAAACTGTTTTATTCAGTGTCGAAAGCTCGCCGAAATTTGCACCACTGATTACGGCTAAATTTGATCTTACTGCGTTTATTACAGGGCATTGAATTCTCAGATGGTTGCAGATCTGGTGTAGCTGACACTGCTCGTATGGTAGCCCAGTTTCGTAATTCAGTGCAACATGTCAGGCCAAAAGCGTGTAACTGTGAATTTATACGATAAGAATAAGCTGAATGAGAGTGTCCAAGAAACTCTACTGTCCGTAAAATTTACTTCTAATTAAGAAGGACACACACGGCCTCCTGCGAGCAAATGTCAATGATTTTCGCTGTAACAAAGCATTCAACCTCCCGGTAAAAACACCAAGCATTTATCACAGACATCAAGTGAGGGAACATTTCGACATATGCTGGTTTCAATTGTCCTTCTGAATAGAAGGTGCATAAGGGTTTAGAGGCGTACGTGTAAACCATGTATATTAGATTGCATTAGGTAAAAGCCTTACTTTGTATAGAACTAACACTTGCCAGTGGGTTGATGGAAACCGATTACGCCCTATTTAGAATCGATCAGTTAGGCGCAGTCACCTAGTTACATTAACCTTATGTTCTACTCAGACCCGGACTGCATGAAATTCATTTGCGAACTAATTTTTATTTCCAGGCCAACTTACATGAATCCCATCTGAATCTCCCAAGAAACGGGCTGCAGTAAAATCACCTGCTTTGAAAAACTGTCTTTTTGAGTATTCTTACATTAAAGGGCTACTGTGAGAGTTGTACAATGATGGCCATCGCGAACGAAAGCACAAACTTGATCATTTGCATAATTTTAGCTCATTATCCCCATTCATGGGTAAATATTTCCGAGAAATTTTAAAGCTTTCTTTGTTTGCTCCCCTCAAAAGGAGGAAAATAAATTTCGTATAAATTTGAAAACGGCTACTTTTTCTAATTTGTTGCGCGAGGTCCTGACTGGTCTGTACATGGGAGCAAATCATATTAGCCTTTCAAGTCCGGAGGGTTACCTGGCAAGATATTTACTTAATCTGCATGTCTTTATTCTATTTTTGTTATTGATAGCGGCTTAAAATAGTATTGTCACCATCCACCTAGGTGGAAATGCACAGAATAATCGAATTTGTGAGTTAAAAAAAGTTTTTTCCTTACAATCTTACGTTCATCTGTTGTCAACTGTTCGGTTTTGCAATTAGGCTGTTGTCTAACTAGATTTTGGTTTTCCCCAACCTGATGGCAAATACTGCTTGTGTAACCTTTCGGTTAACTTAGTTGGAGCCTGACGATAGCTTTTATCCACAGATTCGAAAACCCCTACTTCGTTCAGATTAGGATAAGAGTTGTAGCTAAAGACGTGGTTTTCCTCGTAAAAGGCGAAGAGATCCATTTGCGTGTCTGTGCGCGGCAAAATCTGTTGCGTGGACATGTTAAGCCTAGGCATTTATCACGCATTTCTAAGCGATTATTAGTAAGACAGTAAATACTGGAACATCAGTACTAGTAAATTTCTGAAAACTGAGCATGTTTTTGGCACATATGCCTTGTGTGACCGACATTAGTATGGTGAATTAGACCCATTCACTTTGGCTAATTGTTTGCATAAATAATAGCCTGCCTTGGTGTTACAGACCTCAGAGACTGCCGCACGAGTGTTCACTCCTGGTGGAGGTTTCAGATGATTTGAGAAAACACGAATTTGTCAATTTTGCAGGGAATCTTAGCCAGAAAGCGGGTTGACGAATGCAGTACATATTTTTGTTTACAGTGGGAAAGTTGGATGGCACAATCGACATTCTCAATTTGTGCAGCGGTACGGGTTGACTTTGGGTAAGTAATTGGGTTTCAGACTGGTCGGCTTGGAACACCTTTGTCTTGCTAGGCCGATTAAAAAGACCCGATATTCTGATTGTGTTTTACTCCGACAAAGCACACTGAGCGAAGCATTCAACTTTCATTCAGCAGTTTCCCTTAGGCAGATTTAAATGAAATTTTCTCTCCAGGTTAATGAACTGACTCCCAAAAATAACCTGTGAAAAGGCTAGCATACTGCATGCTAAACAGTTTCTGCTCTAATCGTGATAACAAATACAATCACTGGTGAAACCGTGTTCTGAATATTTAAAAGCCATATTCTACTATTGAGGGTAACAGTTACTAAAGTGGTCTTGACAAACTACAATTTATCTGTCCGAAAACTATGATGTCCTAAAGGTATATGTCTTAGCTGTCCCTTGAGTTTCTGAAATTTACTCGTTTTTACTTAAAAAAGTTAGTTCTGTCAAATTACCATATGCAGTACAATTTGATTGGGAGCAGAAGTGTTTTTGTTCACCGGTGAAACGAATAGGGATGCATAGGTTTTAATTTGTGTAGAAACGTATCTTTGTTATTTAGTTCGTCACACCATAAAATCTGTGCACAGAGATAAGTTGAGTGCATGGCGCAACGCATTAGGTATTTTTGGATGTAAAAGACACCAATAACTGCGTAAAACAAGTCTGCCTCCTAACATGAAGAATATTTCATTCAAGTGAAAGCAACTAAGGGAGACATCTGTTTAGAACCTATGGCGCCGATCGGATGAGCATAACCAAACGTTACCTACCAAAATTCTAGCAACTATTCATATGAGTTGGTTTCTACATGCTTTGACAACCAGTGTTACATTCTCTAATGTACTACAGCTAATGAGATGAGTTGATTCTGTGTGACGGTACCTGTCAGCATTTGAAATACTAATGCACCATAGCTGTTTCCTAAGATTCGCTCCTCGCCGGCCCTTTGGTTACCTTTTTTGCTTGATTATTCGCCACTGAAGAGCAATGCTATTTCACTGTATACATGGTTTAGCGCTAGCTTTCAATGGAATTCTTACTAGTATGAGTACAACTACTGGTGCAGCAGGGCAGCTTCTGACGCTACACTGCGTCACCGGATTAGGTAGAGTGACAGAATACACACGACATAAACTTCGAAATTTATTGGTTGTTAGCTGCAGGTCCTCTTAAAATGATCAGAAATTCACTAACTGACCTAGTGCTTCCGACATTTTGAGAAAGCTCTAAACCAGAGCCAGACCCCGGGTAGATAACCAGGATTCGTCCTCTGGCCTGAAGAGATTTTTCAGCATACGGTATTTGGTGGGCTTTATTTGGCCATTACTGATCAACTTAAGAGATATTTACTCATGTACTCAAAGTTATTAGACGAATGACGTTTCAGGCAAAGGTACATCCATTTCGCGTTCAATGAATGTTGTTTCTAGTTTTGTTTATTCTCTCTACTGTCAGGTTTGAAAGCAAAAACTCGGCATTGCTTACAGAAGTGCACACCCTCGACTGCCTGCCGAGTGAATAACGACATTCTAATCGTGATTTATAACTTGTCGTTTCTATGCATTAAACGTTGCTCAGCTTTTGCGTAGTAAATAACACCTTAACCAAATTGGGATGTTGAAAAACAGAAGAATTAAAGCAGTTTTCTTTCTGCATTCTATTTACTCTACAAACCAATTTCAAGTACACGGGTAATGAAGAAGGGCAAAACACCAGTATCCTAGGTCTAATTAGGACGACACGGCAGCCTGCGTTCATAAACTCGTTTAATAACTATGGAACACTGACCGGTAGTTCATATAAGCCGCATAGAAATTCGATGTATGGAATATTAAATGCCAGTTTGTTGTGTAAATTCCTGTATGAAATACCTGCTTAATGTTGGCAAAAATTGCTTCTGAGCTCAACAGAATCAGAGTTAGCTTTTTTGCGGCCTGTGGTTGGCGTAACTGTTGAAAAGAAACGGACACTTCCATGCACAAAAGTAAACCAATAATTATACAAAAAGTAGTAACCAGAATGACTTTGTGTTTGTTGACAGTTTCTAAAACCGTTTTGGGTTTTAAAACCTTTATTTTGCTTGTCTGCACTAGATGTTACTTTTCCATTTGATTTCCCCCCAATTATAATCTATATTTAAAAAAATTATATTATTTTGTTTTATTGATATTATTGGTGGAGAAAATGAGGATGATGACCTTACGGTCTTCCGTAATAAATAGAAAAAAAGCGAGTGAATAATTTCCAAAATATGCGCTTATTTTCACTCACATGACGGCCTTTTGGGAGCTGTTTTATTTCTTTTGGATGTAACGGGTTTTTCGTTCTCGATTGCAGCCTATGTTCTTTAAGATAACAACAAACCTAATGTGCGAGATCCGTGTATTAATATGGTCTCAGGAAAAACTCTTTGGATTTACTCAAGAAAGTGTCTAAAGCTAAAATAATATCGCATTCTTCTCATGTCTTTGAGCTCGAGTATGCATCTTATATTCAAGAAAAAAATGCTTGAGCTTAACAATGTCTGGAAAATCAGTTTTACTACACCTACAAACAACTTTGGTGTCAGAATTAGGGAGTGAAATAAACACTGAGACATTCCAGATTTGAGCTTACGTCATCTAACCTGCGTGTGCCCAAAACATAGTGTTTTGTATACTAAGGAGGACTCACATCTACATTTGTCTTCTGGGCGATTATTTTTCTTTCACCTACTTACTTATGGTTGCACCTGCGGTTGAACTTATGTTTCATCAACAAAGTGCAAAGTCTTGTTGAAACAGGTACAGTCTTAGGACATGCCTCTAAAAATTCAAGGGGTGACGCTAGAACATTTGAAACGCTCTACATATCTAAGCAG